ACTGACTAACTTGTTTCAAGGCCACAACCTCTTCCTCAGAGCCCTGAGGAGCACTGAGGAAGAGGTTGTGGCCTCGAAATGTGTTAGCCCTGAGGAGCTCTGAGGAAGAGGTTGTGGCCTTGAAATGCGTTAGCCCTGAGGAGCTCTGAGGAAGAGGTTGTGGCTTCGAAACGTGTTAGCCCTGAGGAGCGCTGAGGAAGAGGTTGTGGCCTTGAAACGTGCTAGCGCTGAGGAAGAGGTGGTGGCCTCGAAACACGTTAGTCCTGAGGAGCTCTGAGGAAGAGTTTGTGGCCTTGAATCGCGTTAGCCCTGAGGAACTCTGAGGAAGAGGTTGTGGCCTCAAAACGTGTTAGCCCTAGGAGCTCTGAGGAAGAGGCTGTGACCTTGAAATGCGTTAGCCCTGAGAAGCTCTGAGGAAGAGGTTGTGGCCTTGAATCACGTTAGCCCTGAGGAGCTCTGAGGAAGAGGTTGTGGCCTTGAATCACGTTAGCCCTGAGGAGCTCTGAGGAAGAGGTTGTGGCCTTGAATCACGTTAGCCCTGAGGCGCTCTGAGGAAGAGGTTGTGGCTTAGAAAAGCGTAAACCCTGAGGAGCAGGTTGTGGCCTCGAAAAGCGTTAGCCCTGAGGAAGAGGTTGTGGCCTCGAAACGCGTTAGCCCTGAGGAAGAGGTTGTGGCCTCAAAACGCATTAGCCCTGGGCGCTCTGAGGAAGAGGTTGTGGCCTCAAAACGCGTTAGCCAGTTGGTCATCCAGGGTTCCATCGTATGGACTCAGATGCCTCTTGGATATATTATCTCGTTCGGTGTGATATGCCTGTATTTTATGTTCGTTGTGAGTATATTACTTACCTTGTTTTTCCAATAAATATTTTAAACGATAATGCACTAGGTCGGTGCACCCTTTTTTGTTTTTCTATTTGCATTCAGTGAAGTTGGACCACCCCGGTCTGTTGAGGGCAGCAAGCAGTGCATGTTTCAGAACATCCTTACTGGTTCCACCGAGTCCATTCCCAGCGCAGGAGAAAAGTGTTTTGCTGCGGTGGTAGTAAACTCTTTTGTATTTCAATGATTTTTATTTAAAAACATTTAAAAAAGAAAAACTGGAGCAACAAGACACGCCCACTCAGAGGCCATCAATTGCACATAAAAAAATAAAGAAAACAGAGCTCTAACACCAACAGAGCAAAAAGTGCACCAACTCAGGGGCACATAAAAGCCAAAAACATTGGTATAACATCGACAAGAACTCAAACCTAAGGCAGCTATCCACCGCCACACCAAAAACAAACAGAAATAGAAAAGGAAGGAGGAGTACAAAAGGAAGAAGATGACAAGGCCATGAGCGGGGGTTCGGGAACACCAATACCGAGCAACATCACAACCTCAGACTAGCCGGGGGGGAGCGTGGGGAAGGGCATATTGCAACCACGGCTCCCATATTTTCAAAAATTTCCGTTGGGAGTCGTTACAAATACTCGACATCTGTTCACTGAGCATCATAATGGTCATACGGTCCCGTGGTAGTAAACTCTTTTGGTATAGGGGGGTCTCAAGTGTGGTCCCTAACGTCAACAAAGGGCTGCGTGTAATGCTACAGAAAGCTGGCAAGAGCCTGCAGACCTGCAACAGGAGATCCGAGACTACGGACATGGTACAAAATGTGGTCAGAGAGTGTGGACTTCTTCAGGAGACCGTCGTAGACTTCAGGAGACCGTCGTAGACTTCAGGAGACCGTCGTAGACTTCAGGAGACCGTCGTAGACTTCAGGAGACCGTCGTAGACTTCAGGAGACCGTCGTAGACTTCAGGAGACCGTCGTAGACTTCAGGAGACCGTCGTAGACTTCAGGAGACCGTCGTAGACTTCAGGAGACCGTCGTAGACTTCAGGAGACCGTCGTAGACTTCAGGAGACCGTCGTAGACTTCAGGAGACCGTCGTAGACTTCAGGAGACCGTCGTAGACTTCAGGAGACCGTCGTAGACTTCAGGAGACCGTCGTAGACTTCAGGAGACCGTCGTAGACTTCAGGAGACCGTCGTAGACTTCAGGAGATTGTCGTAGACTTCAGGAGACCGTCGTAGACTTCAGGAGACCGTGTACCTTTGCTCAGATTTTCATGGCTTCTATATATGTCTGTCATATACACACTCATCAGGTGCTAAAGAAATGTGACTACATGTATACATTCTGAACCCTCCTCACATTGCTCTTCATCCTTTGTAGACCAGACCCAAACCTTGTATCTCTCCTAAAACTTGTGTCTATTTGCCCCATATTGGCTCTATATTTTCTGGAACGTGGGTCAGCAACCTGTAGATCAAAATCTACCAGTAGATTTCAGCCAGGTGACCGGTAGATCGCGGTCTGTGTTTGCTGCCCTGCCATCCCAGGGCATCACACAGTGCTGTGCCGAGAGACTACTTGTAAAGTTGGAGCTTTAGTAGGGAGCGAGAGCCGCATAAGCCGATGCTCCTCTGTAGTGCCGACTCCTGTCCCATAAGCCGATGCTCCTCTGTAGTGCCGACTCCTTTCCCATGCGGAGTGATACCAACTGCTCTCCATCTCTTATCCCAGCGAGCGGTCTCCAGAGTGGTACCAGCAGCAGGAAAGAAGAGATCTTCAGGTCTATGGCAAAGCATAGCTAATCCAAGAAAGTTGCAGATGCACTGCACTGCACCCGCGGTGCAGGTAAACTGCAGCAGTTCACTGTGAAAGCAGCCTTCTGGGGGGATCAGAACAGTAAAGGTTCATTTACAATTTCAGTTTTGGGGGTTTTGTCAAGTGAATGAGGCTGCACTGCAAGTGCCCTGCAACCTTGTGCAGTACAGCAAACAAGGGGTTAAAGCGGGCAGTGTTGTGTTGCTTTATCACCACCTGTTGTAACCCCTTGGACTCTGCAGAAGAATGCATTTGCAGGGCGTTTGCAGAAAGGCCCCATTTACCTGAATGGGTCTCAGTTGGTAGGTGGTAGCACCCACTAAAAGCAGCAGGGGGTTTAATTCCTGCTGCCTTGTTGTGTACACCTTTTGGCTGCTGGTTTTACCACCCCTGAGCTTTACGTGTGAAGGAGCCCTAGGGGTTCAGCTTCAGAATTGCAGCAGATGCTGAAAAGCGATCCGAGTGTGTTTTGACAGGTGGTGAGGAGACGATATGTTGATTCCTCAACTGATTTAAAAACCCCATAATTGCCATGCAATGCTCACGATTGTGACACGGTAATACAGCATAAAGGGTTTAAATCGGGTGTGAGGAGGTGACACTGTGCCTGGTGATGTTGTTCAGGTGGATCTCCACTTCTTTAGGATTGCCTACCCCTGCTCTGGAGCATTTTTAATTTGCAGAGCAGAGTTGGGACTGGCCAGAGAGGGATTACTTTGGCGCAGTTGGCCATAAAGGGTTTAAATCGGGTGTGAGGAGGTAACACTGTGCCTGGTGGTGATGTTCAGGTGGATCTCCACTTCTTTAGGATTGCCTACCCCTGCTCTGGAGCATTTTTAATTTGCAGAGCAGAGTTGGGACTGGCCAGAGAGGGATTACTTTGGCGCAGTTGGCCATAAAGGGTTTAAATCGGGTGTGAGGAGGTAACACTGTGCCTGGTGGTGATGTTCAGGTGGATCTCCACTTCTTTAGGATTGCCTACCCCTGCTCTGGAGCATTTTTAATTTGCAGAGCAGAGTTGGGACTGGCCAGAGAGGGATTACTTTGACGCAGTTGGCCAGTTTAAACACATTGCACAAATACAAGGAATTTTAGCTCACATACGATGAAAACTTTGCTAGAAAGGGTGAATAGCGATTTGCAGAGGGAGCATTTAGAATTTTTAGTCATAGACTGCAGACATTACATGAGACCAATGGAATAGGGCAGGGTCCCTGGGGACTGCAAAAAAAAATTCCAAGAGGGCTGCACCTCAGTTACCAACAAATATGTTTCTCAGTGGTCCATCTTACTGGAAATACATTGCATGTACATAGTTGGTAAAATGCTGCCCTGATTCCTGACTCCTAAACCTCCATCATGCTTTGTACAGGTCCTCATCACTGGAATCTATTAACCACATTATGGTGGGCTAAGCTTTTTATTGTTTTGTTTTCGTGCATCATCCTCTTCGCAGCACCATGCTGGTTAATGCACATTGCTGCCCACTACTGCAGTATCTATTGGGGTGCCGGGTTAGCGTAGAGCTGAGGGAACCCTAAAATGAATTTTGACCTACCATAGCCTGGGAGTGCGGTGAATGAAGATCTGCATGGGGCACGGAGAAGGTTTGGAATGAGACAGGAGTTGGCTCAGCTTTTTATATAGAAAGATTTCTTTTAACTACGTATTGCTGAGGGCCTTCTACGTCTAATGGAGGACTAGCTAGCAGGACAGGTTAGGTCCTCCTATGACTTCCATAATATCCTCCAAAGATAAGCTGATCCAGTTTAAATATTTGCTTCCTATCAATTATACATTCTTATCTCAGATCTTTACCTAATATCTGCAATCCTACTTGGTGCTTACTTCAGGGTATTTACAAGACTCTGATATTCCTAATTGTACTAAACTACTTCTTTGCCTTCTAAGCAGAGAAAGATATCTATTATCTGGAAATCCTCTAATCCCTCAACCCTAAGTTGTTGGAAAAGATTTATTAACCGGGCACTCCCCTTCTACAAGCGAACATGAGAAATCTGAGAAGCTATGACTCCCCTGACTGGACAAACCATATACATTTCATATCTCTTATCTCTATATTCAACAGTCTTGTGAAAACAGATCTGAAGTTATGTAAAGAGATCTACCATAGTACAGCCTTCTCAACCCTTTTAACATTAAGGAACCCCTAAAATATCTTTCAGGTCTCAGAGAAACCCTGCTAATGGTTCTTATATCAACAGCTAATGGTATGTTAGTGTGGTGGCCAGTGAGAAGATTGCTCCTTACATTGGGGGATCAGTGGGAAGAATGTCCCTTACATTGGTGGTCAGTGGGAAGAATGTCCCTTACATTGGGGATCAGTGGGAAGAATGTCCCTTACATTGGGGGTCAGTGGGAAGAATGTCCCTTACATTGGGGGTCAGTGGGAAGAATGTCCCTTACATTGGTGGTCAGTGGGAAGAATATTCCTAACATTGGTGGTCAGTGGGAAGAATATTCCTAACATTGGTGGTCAGTGGGAAGAATGTCCTTTACATTGGTGGTCAGTGGGAAGAATGTCCTTTACATTGGGGATCAGTGGGAAGAATGTCCCTTACATTGGGGGTCAGTGGGAAGAATGTCTCTTACATTGGTGGTCAGTGGGAAGAATGTCCCTTACATTGGGGATCAGTGGGAAGAATGTCCCTTACATTGGTGGTCAGTGGGAAGAATATTCCTAACATTGGTGGTCAGTGGGAAGAATGTCCCTTACATTGGGGGTCAGTGGGAAGAATGTCCCTTACATTGGGGGTCAGTGGGAAGAATGTCCCTTACATTGGGGTCAGTGGGAAGATTGTCCCTTACATTGGTGGTCAGTGGGAAGAATATTCCTAACATTGGTGGTCAGTGGGAAGAATGTCCCTTACATTGGTGGTCAGTGGGAAGAATGTCCCTTACATTGGTGATCAGTGGGAAGAATGTCCCTTACATTGGTGATCAGTGGGAAGAATGTCCCTTACATTGGTGATCAGTGGGGAAGAATGTCCCTCACATTGGGGGTCAGTGGGAAGAATATTCCTAACATTGGGGGTCAGTGGGAAGAATATTCCTAACATTGGTGGTCAGTGGGAAGAATGTCCCTTACATTGGTGATCAGTGGGAAGAATGTCCCTTACATTGGTGATCAGTGGGAAGAATGTCCCTTACATTGGTGGTCAGTGGGAAGAATGTCCCTTATATTGGTGATCAGTGGGAAGAATGTCCCTTACATTGGTGATTAGTGGGAAGAATGTCCCTTACATTGGTGATCAGTGGGAAGAATGCCCCTTACATTGGAGGTCAGTGGGAAGAATGCCCCTTACATTGGTGGTCAGTGGGAAGTCACAGAGGAGATTGGCACTGATGATCCGTGCCCTGCAGTGCCGCCCATCATTGCCATCAGTCAGTGCTGCCAGTCAGGGCTATCATTTAGTGCCATAAGTCAATGCCCACAAGTGCCCCCTCATCAGTGCAGCCAGTCAGTGCTGCCTATCCATGCCACCTCATCAGTGCTGCCTATCAGTGTAGCCTCATCAACACACATCAGTACAGATAAAAATGTCATACGGGTACAGTGTTGCATGATCGCGCAATTGTCATTCAAAGTGCAACAGCGCTGAAAGCTGAAAACTGGCCTGGATAGGAAGGGGGTGAAAGGGCCCGGTAGGCGAGGGGTTAAACATGGAGATGGCCTTTAATACCGCCAGTCTTTGCTCCCTCGTAGAGCTGGAAGAGCAAGTAAAATTGTAAGCATGTGACAGTTCTGGTTGTGTCTCTTGCCTGCATCTCCCTCCTGCTGATGACCGTGGCCTCTCCACCGCCTCTCCGCCGGGCCCCGATGTCACTTGTGTATCCAGCTGTAGCAGCTGGTTAAGTGGGGAATGGAGAAGGGGAGGGGGGGGGGGCAGGCATTTGACAAATTGGATGGTGGAGATTCTATAAATTCTTCCAGTTCTACAAGAGAGCAAATGGTTGTCTGCAGCGGAGCCACAACTGGTATCATAATAGACTTGTTTACCGCTTTTTAAATTAAATGACCGTGTCCTGAAAAACAACTTCAGTATTTGAGATCGGGCTGATTGGATCGTGAAGTCTTCATTGATGTATTAAGTTATGATCCTCATGGACAAGGACATTTGTGGTGAGGGCCGCGTCAGAGCACAATATCCGCGTTCTGCATGCGCATTTTTGATGCCTTCTGATATATTTTTCCACTCCTTTCTTCTTTTTATTTTTTTTTTCTTCATCTCAATTGAGGTGCATTTTAGATTCGTTTTTGCACATTCCATGTGTGTGTCATACAAGAAAGAGTCAACATGTTCTACTGTTGTTGACAGCACTGGTGTGAACTATGCCATTGGAAACCATGTAACCCATTATCAATGTTCCATACAAGAAAAAGGCAACATGTTCTACTGGAACACACTGCACTGGTGTGAACTATCCCATTGGAAACCATGTAACCCATTATCAATGTTCCATACAAGAAAAAGGCAACATGTTCTACTGTTGTTGACCGCACTGGTGTGAACTATCCCATTGGAAACCATGTAACCCATTATCAATGTTCCATACAAGAAAAAGGCAACATGTTCTACTGTTGTTGACCGCACTGGTGTGAACTATCCCATTGGAAACCATGTAACCCATTATCAATGTTCCATACAAGAAAGAGTCAACATGTTCTACTGTTGTTGACCGCACTGGTGTGAACTATCCCATTGGAAACCATGTAACCCATTATCAATGTTCCATACAAGAAAAAGGCAACATGTTCTACTGTTGTTGACCGCACTGGTGTGAACTATCCCATTGGAAACCATGTAACCCATTATCAATGTTCCATACAAGAAAAAGGCAACATGTTCTACTGTTGTTGACCGCACTGGTGTGAACTATCCCATTGGAAACCATGTAACCCATTATCAATGTTCCATACAAGAAAGAGTCAACATGTTCTACTGTTGTTGACCGCACTGGTGTGAACTATGCCATTGGAAACAATAAAACCTATTACTGCTCCATACAAGAAAAAGGCAACATGTTCTACTTTTTTTTTTCTGAAACTGGAACTGACCGCACTGGTGTGAACTATGATAATAGGTTACATGGTTTCCAATGGCATAGTTCACACCAGTGCTGTCAACAACAGTAGAACATGTTGCCTTTTTCTTGTACAGAACATTGATAAATAGGTTACATGGTTTCCAATGGCAATGTTCTGTACAAGAAAAAGGCAACATGTTCTACTGTTGTTGACTGCACTGGAACGCACTGCACTGGTGTGAACTAGGACCATTGGAAACCATGTTAACCACTGTCCAGGCATTTCTGATGCAGAATAAAAATGCACTGGACTGCATTTGGTGTCAACAAACCCTCAGGGCCAGTTCACACCACATGGAGTACAGTGCGTTTTCTTTCTGCATCAGAAATGCCCGGAGAGTGGTAAACATGGATTCCAATGGTCCTAGTTCACACCAGTGCAGTGCGTTCCAGTGCGGTCAACAACAGTATAACATGTTGCCTTTTTCTTGCATAGAACATTGATAATGGGTTACATGGTTTCCAATGGGGTAGTTCACACCAGTGTGGTCAGTTCTTGTTTCAGGAAAAAAAAAAAAAAAAAAAAAAGAACATGTTGCCTTTTTTTTTTTTTTTGCATAGAACATTGATAATGGGTTACATGGTTTCCAATGGTCCTAGTTCACACCAGTGCAGTCAGTTTCAGAAACAAAAAGTAGAACATGTTGCCTTTTTCTTGTATGGAACATTGATAGTAGGCTACATGGTTTCCAATGGCATAGTTCACACCAGTGCAGTGCTTTCCAGTGCGGTCAGCAACAGTAGAACATGTTGCTTTTTTCTTGTATAGAACATTGATAGTAGGCTACATGGTTTCCAATGGCATAGTTCACACCAGTGCGGTCAGTTCCAGTTTCAGAAAAAAAAAAAAAAAAAACATGTTGCCTTTTTCTTGTATGGAACATTGATAGTAGGCTACATGGTTTCCAATGGCATAGTTCACACCAGTGCGGTCAACAACAGTAGAACATGTTGCCTTTTTCTTGTGTAGAACATTGATAGGTTACATGGTTTCCAATGGGATAGTTCACACCAGTGCGGTCAGTTCCAGTTTCAGAAAAAAAAAAAAAAACATGTTGCCTTTTTCTTGTATGGAACATTGATAGTAGGCTACATGGTTTCCAATGGCATAGTTCACACCAGTGCGGTCAGTTCCAGTTTCAGAAAAAAAAAAAACATGTTGCCTTTTTCTTGTATGGAACATTGATAGTAGGCTACATGGTTTCCAATGGTCCTAGTTCACACCAGTGCGGTCAACAGTAGAACATGTTGCCTTTTTCTTGTGTAGAACATTGATAGGTTACATGGTTTCCAATGGGATAGTTCACACCAGTGCGGTCAGTTCCAGTTTCAGAAAAAAAAAAAGTAGAACGTGTTGCCTTTTTCTTGTGTAGAACATTGATAATGGGTTACATGGTTTCCATTGGCATAGTTCACACCAGTGCGGTCAGTTCCAGTGCGTTCCAGTTTCAGAAAAAAAAAAAGTTGAGTACTGTCCGTGATCCTTTTTTTTTTTTTTTTATTTGTGCTAACATACAATTTTTAGGACCGGCCTTGGGGGTATGTCCCCTTCAAGGTCCAAGCAGTAAGAAGGGGACATACCCTTAAAGCTGGTCCCCGAAACGACTGTCAAAAGTGCATTAATACGGCTACAATCACCTAAAGCAAGAAAAAAAAAAAGTGGAACATGCTACATTTTTTCTTTTTTCTGCACTGAACTGTACTGGAACGCGGTAAAACACACCAGATCGCACGTATTCCTATTATATGCACGTTCACATCACAAAAACGTGCTCCGGGTGCGTTCCGGGTACTTTTCGCTTACAGTTCACACCACACTCTGTTCCGGTGTGTTTTCACGTGTTCCGGTACAGTTCTGTGCAGAAAAAATGCAGCAAATTCATTTTTTTTTTTTTTTTTTTTTTTTTAAATCGAGAGCTGACTGCGCTGGTGTGAACTAGGGTCATTGGAATCTGTTATCCACTGTGCAGAATAAAAACGCACTAGACTGCATCTGGTGTCAACCAACCCTCAAATCTGCCTCAACCAGTCCTGGATATCGGGCTCAATCTGTTTACATGTCAATTGTTTTTCGCTTACCGTAGTCTGCAGCCAGGTCTGCACACAGGTTTTATGTAGAAGGGTGTGGCCGGGACGTGACCACAGTGCGGGTTATAGAGGTGTATTACCTGTGCGACCTCATGTAGGGCCTGCCTGGATGTGACTTGAGGCTAACCCCCCCCCCCCCCCCCCCCCCATACAGTATAAAGCCGACCTGTCCTGTTCAGGTGTCAATGGGGACAGCACAGTGGCTAAATGGTTAGCACTTCCGCCTGGCAGTACTGGGGTCGTTGGTTCAAATCCCAACCACAGCACCACCTGCCTGGAGTTTGCATGTTCTCCCTGTGCCTGCGTGGGTTTCCTCCCACACTACAAAGACATGCTGGTAGGTTGGCTCCTGTCTAAATTGTTCCTAATATGTGTATGTATGAATGTGAGTTAGGGACCTTAGATTGGACGCCCCTTGAGGGTTAGGGACCTTAGATTGTACGCCCCTCGAGGGTCGGGGACCTTAGATTGGACGCCCCTTGAGGGTCGGGGACCTTAGATTGGACGCCCCTTGAGGGTTAGGGACCTTAGATTGGACGCCCCTTGAGGGTCAGGGACCTTAGATTGTACGCTCCTTGAGGGTTAGGGACCTTAGATTGGACGCCCCTTGAGGGTCAGGGACCTTAGATTGTACGCTCCTTGAGGGTTAGGGACCTTAGATTGGACGCCCCTTGAGGGTTAGGGACCTTAGATTGGACGCCCCTTGAGGGTTAGGGACCTTAGATTGGACGCCCCTTGAGGGTTAGGGACCTTAGATTGGACGCCCCTTGAGGG